ATTTGAACTTCTACAAGAACCAATGACGTTCATTCTCGTGTTACGCAGCACGTTTGAGCTTCTACAAGAACCAATGAGGTTCATTCTCGTGATACGCAGCACGTTTGAGCTTCCTCAAGAACCAATGAGGTTCATTCTCGTGTTACGCAGCACATTTGAACTTCTACAAGAACCAATGAGGTTCATTCTCGTGTTACGCAGCACGTTTGAGCTTCAGCAAGAACCAATGAGGTTCATTCTCATGTTACGCAGCACGTTTGAGCTTCAGCAAGAACCAATGAGGTTCATTCTCGTGTTACGCAGCACGTTTGAGCTTCTACAAGAACCAATGAGGTTCATTCTCGTGATACGCAGCACTTTTGAACTTCTACAAGAACCAATGAGGTTCATTCTCATGTTACGCAGCACGTTTGAGCTTCAGCAAGAACCAATGAGGTTCATTCTCGTGTTACGCAGCACGTTTGAGCTTCTACAAGAACCAATGAGGTTCATTCTCGTGATACGCAGCACGTTTGAGCTTCCTCAAGAACCAATGAGGTTCATTCTCGTGTTACGCAGCACATTTGAACTTCTACAAGAACCAATGAGGTTCATTCTCGTGTTACGCAGCACGTTTGAGCTTCCTCAAGAACCAATGAGGTCATTCTAGTGTTACGCAGCACGTTTGAGCTTCAACAAGAACCAATGAGGTTCATTCTCGTGTTACGCAGCACGTTTGAGCTTCTACAAGAACCAATGAGGTTCATTCTAGTGTTACGCAGCACTTTGACCTTCTACAAGAACCAATGAGGTTCATTCTCGTGTTATGCAGCACGTTTGAGCTTCAGCAAGAACCAATGAGGTTCATTCTCCTGTTATGCAGCACGTTTGAGCTTCAGCAAGAACCAATGAGGTTCATTCTCGTGTTACGCAGCACGTTTGAGCTTCTACAAGAACCAATGAGGTTCATTCTCGTGTTACGCAGCACGTTTGAGCTTCCTCAAGAACCAATGAGGTTCATTCTCGTGTTACGCAGCACATTTGAACTTCTACAAGAACCAATGAGGTTCATTCTCGTGTTACGCAGCACGTTTGAGCTTCTTCAAGAACCAATGAGGTCATTCTAGTGTTACGCAGCACGTTTGAGCTTCAACAAGAACCAATGAGGTTCATTCTAGTGTTACGCAGCACGTTTGAGCTTCTACAAGAACCAATGAGGTTCATTCTCGTGTTATGCAGCACGTTTGAGCTTCAGCAAGAACCCATGAGGTTCATTCTCGTGTTATGCAGCACGTTTGAGCTTCAGCAAGAACCAATGAGGTTCATTCTCGTGTTACGCAGCACGTTTGAGCTTCTACAAGAACCAATGAGGTTCATTCTCGTGTTACGCAGCACGTTTGAGCTTCTACAAGAACCAATGAGGTTCATTCTCGTGTTACGCAGCACGTTTGAACTTCTACAAGAACCAATGAGGTTCATTCTCGTGTTACGCAGCACGTTTGAGCTTCAACAAGAACCAATGAGGTTCATTCTCGTGTTACGCAGCACGTTTGAGCTTCTACAAGAACCAATGAGGTTCATTCTCGTGTTACGCAGCACGTTTGAACTTCTACAAGAACCAATGAGGTTCATTCTCGTGTTACGCAGCACGTTTGAGCTTCCTCAAGAACCAATAAGGTTCATTCTCGTGTTACGCAGCACATTTGAGCTTCTACAAGAACCAATGAGGTTCATTCTCGTGTTACGCAGCACGTTTGAGCTTCTACAAGAACCAATGAGGTTCATTCTCGTGTTCCGCAGCACGTTTGAGCTTCCTCAAGAACCAATGAGGTTCATTCTCGTGTTACGCAGCACGTTTGAGCTTCAGCAAGAACCAATGAGGTTCATTCTCGTGTTACGCAGCACGTTTGAGCTTCCTCAAGAACCAATGAGGTTCATTCTCGTATTACGCAGCACGTTTGAGCTTCCTCAAGAACCAATGAGGTTCATTCTCGTGTTACGCAGCACGGTTGAGCTTCAACAAGAACCAATGAGGTTCATTCTCGTGTTACGCAGCACGTTTGAGCTTCAGCAAGAACCAATGAGGTTCATTCTCGTGTTACGCAGCACGTTTGAGCTTCCTCAAGAACCAATGAGGTTCATTCTCGTGTTACGCAGCACGTTTGAGCTTCCTCAAGAACCAATGAGGTTCATTCTCGTGTTACGCAGCACGGTTGAGCTTCAACAAGAACCAATGAGGTTCATTCTCATGTTACGCAGCACGTTTGAGCTTCCTCAAGAACCAATGAGGTTCATTCTCGTGTTACGCAGCACGTTTGAGCTTCTACAAGAACCAATGAGGTTCATTCTCGTGTTACGCAGCACGTTTGAGCTTCCTCAAGAACCAATGAGGTTCATTCTCGTGTTACGCAGCACGTTTGAGCTTCTACAAGAACCAATGAGGTTCATTCTCGTGTTACGCAGCACGTTTCAGCTTCCTCAAGAACCAATGAGGTTCATTCTCGTGTTACGCAGCACGTTTGAGCTTCCTCAAGAACCAATGAGGTTCATTCTCGTGTTACGCAGCACGTTTGAGCTTCCTCAAGAACCAATGAGGTTCATTCTCGTGTTACGCAGCACGTTTGAGCTTCCTCAAGAACCAATGAGGTTCATTCTCGTGTTACGCAGCACGTTTGAGCTTCTACAAGAACCAATGAGGTTCATTCTCGTGTTACGCAGCACGTTTGAACTTCTACAAGAACCAATGAGGTTCATTCTCGTGTTACGCAGCACGTTTGAGCTTCAACAAGAACCAATGAGGTTCATTCTCGTGTTACGCAGCACGTTTGAGCTTCTACAAGAACCAATGAGGTTCATTCTCGTGTTACGCAGCACGTTTGAACTTCTACAAGAACCAATGAGGTTCATTCTCGTGTTACGCAGCACGTTTGAGCTTCCTCAATAACCAATGAGGTTCATTCTCGTGTTACGCAGCACATTTGAGCTTCTACAAGAACCAATGAGGTTCATTCTCGTGTTACGCAGCACGTTTGAGCTTCTACAAGAACCAATGAGGTTCATTCTCGTGTTACGCAGCACGTTTGAGCTTCCTCAAGAACCAATGAGGTTCATTCTCGTGTTACGCAGCACGTTTGAGCTTCAGCAAGAACCAATGAGGTTCATTCTCGTGTTACGCAGCACGGTTGAGCTTCTACAAGAACCAATGAGGTTCATTCTCGTGTTACGCAGCACGTTTGAGCTTCCTCAAGAACCAATGAGGTTCATTCTCGTGTTACGCAGCACGGTTGAGCTTCAACAAGAACCAATGAGGTTCATTCTCGTGTTACGCAGCACGTTTGAGCTTCAGCAAGAACCAATGAGGTTCATTCTCGTGTTACGCAGCACGTTTGAGCTTCCTCAAGAACCAATGAGGTTCATTCTCGTGTTACGCAGCACGTTTGAGCTTCCTCAAGAACCAATGAGGTTCATTCTCGTATTACGCAGCACGTTTGAGCTTCCTCAAGAACCAATGAGGTTCATTCTCGTGTTACGCAGCACGGTTGAGCTTCAACAAGAACCAATGAGGTTCATTCTCATGTTACGCAGCACGTTGAGCTTCCTCAAGAACCAATGAGGTTCATTCTCGTGTTACGCAGCACGTTTGAGCTTCTACAAGAACCAATGAGGTTCATTCTAGTGTTACGCATCACGTTTGAGCTTCTACAAGAACCAATGAGGTTCATTCTCGTGTTACGCAGCACGTTTGAGCTTCTACAAGAACCAATGAGGTTCATTCTCGTGTTACGCAGCACGTTTGAGCTTCTACAAGAACCAATGAGGTTCATTCTAGTGTTACGCATCACGTTTGAGCTTCTACAAGAACCAATGAGGTTCATTCTCATGTTACGCAGCACGTTTGAGCTTCCTCAAGAACCAATGAGGTTCATTCTCGTGTTACGCAGCACGTTTGAGCTTCTACAAGAACCAATGAGGTTCATTATAGTGTTACGCAGCACGTTTGAGCTTCCTCAAGAACCAATGAGGTTCATTCTCGTGTTACGCAGCACGTTTGAGCTTCTACAAGAACCAATGAGGTTCATTATAGTGTTACGCAGCACGTTTGAGCTTCCTCAAGAACCAATGTGGTTCATTCTCGTGTTACGCAGCACGTTTGAGCTTCTACAAGAACCAATGAGGTTCATTCTCGTGTTACGCAGCACGTTTTAGCTTTTACAAGAACCAATGAGGTTCATTCTCATGTTACGCAGCACGTTTGAGCTTCCTCAAGAACCAATGAGGTTCATTCTCGTGTTACGCAGCACGTTTGAGCTTCCTCAAGAACCAATGAGGTTCATTCTCGTGTTACGCAGCACGTTTGAGCTTCCTCAAGAACCAATGAGGTTCATTCTCGTGTTACGCAGCACGTTTGAGCTTCCTCAAGAACCAATGAGGTTCATTCTCGTGTTACGCAGCACGTTTGAGCTTCTGCAAGAGGTTTGTTCTCGCGCGTCGGTTGAGCTTCTGTTTATGTTCGCTGATCAATGTTTAAATGTGAATAAAAGCCTAAATTAAATCTGTTCATGTAAAGCAATCAAGAAAATTTTGACTTCTTTTTCAAAATTTCAATTCTTTTACGACCTGTTTATGAACTTTTTGAAGCGTCAAAGTGGTAGTTGCGTAGCTGTCAATGGAGGGACAGAAAGCTCTTAGATTTCATTAAAAATATCTTCATTTGTGTTCTGAAGATGAATGAAAGTCTTACGGGTTTGGAACGACATGAGAGTTATTAATGACAGAATTGTACATTTATGACACACTTAAGTGCACTTTTAAAATTTTTACTTTACAGTACTTTTTAAATCCTGTTTTGGGAAGGAAGCCTTTTGAACTTCACGTTTCGACATAATGGGTAAAGAAAATCTATTGGTAACATCAGCTAAAATCATCAATATCTAGATGACTATGCTTGACATTTGTTTTATTTATTGACTTGCATAATACAAGACAAGTGCTTTGAATATGACAGTATTTCAAAAACCAACCTGCATGTTCTTGAAGACATTATCTGAACCATGGAAGCCACCACTGCAGTATTTAATTTCACTCGGTTTTCTGTTGACCAAGGTGGGAAAGAAAAATACTTTACAAAATACTTTAGGACTGAGTACATGCCAGCTTGAGTGCTGATTAAAAAAAAAAAATTCTTCGGTAACACTTTATTTTGATGGTCCACTTCTACTCCGTTTGCAAATGTAAATTGCCAGTGATTCGAGTATTAGTAGACTGTCTGATTAATATCTGCTAACACTTTAGTTTAATGCTTCCCAGAAGGCATTCTACTGACTGTAAGTAACTTTACAACTGCATGTCAACTTATTCTAATAACCCAAACTCTAACCTAACAGCCTACAAATACTCTGATGAGAGTTAGTAGAATGTCTAAAGTGGCCATCGAAATAAAGTGTAACCAAATCTTCAAATGTCTTCAGTCAAATTCTAGATACCATTTTGAAACGGAACGGTTCGCACATTGATCAAAAACATCAAACGGTTAAACACTGTTTTTCCCCATAAGTTTTACAAACACATTAATACTTTGAGGATATTGATTTCCTTCATTATAGCACTCATGACAAGTGCCAAACTCACAGTGCTGCTTGCCACTGCGGCTGCATGTAGAGATGTGCTCGCTCGATACGGATGCTATGTGCAAAGTGAAGGCGTTTGGGGAGGTGCTCCTTCAGATACGGCCTCATCGGCTGATCAGGTTCTCTGCACTTCAAACAGAAAGAAAGAAGGAAAGAATAATGGTTTCAGCATGATACAGTAGAAGATGTGGTCTATAAGTGAGGTGTGGGGATGCTGACAGGCTCATACCGAAAGGTTCTTCACGAGACCTTCATAATCAACTGCCAGATGAATACAGGGAAAGAGAAGAGATGGATCGTTTGACTTGCATTTAATGGACAAAACACTTTTTATAAATGATTGTTTCTTCAACTATGTGCACTAGGCCCGCTTTTTACACTTTCTCATGATATTTACACTACCGTTTATTTGGGGTCGATAAGATGTTTTTGCTCATCAATGCTGTATTTATTTGATTAAGAATATTGTGAAATATTATTACAATTTAAAATAACTTTTCTATTTGACAATATTTTTAAATGTAATTTATTCCTGTGATGCAAAGTTGAATTTTCATCATCATTCCTCCAGTCTTCAGTGTCACATGATCCTTCAGAAATCATTCTAATATTCTCGCTCAAGAAACATTTATTATTATTAGCACCCATGTTGAAAACAGATGTTCTGCTAGCTTTCATTTGAAAATTTGATTTATTTTAATTTTTTAGTCGCATCTGATCAATTTAATGCATTTTTGCTGATTGTTGTTTTTGTTTTTATTTCTTTAAAACAATGTTTTTTTTTTTTTATATATTGTTTTTACATATTTCACTTCAGGTTCTTTACTGACACTGGTAAGCAACACTAATTTATACAGTATAGTGTTAAAAATCGCTAAAACTTTATTAGGGACAAAATTGTTGGTCACAGTGGAAATTACACCACAACTGTGGTTCAGTCGCAAATTGTGTAAAAAATTAAAAACACTTTATATAAAAATTATATAATGTTATATAAGTTATTTATGATTATATAACGTTGTATTTAGATTATCTTAGTTTTTTAATTAAGTCTACATTTGGAATATGAAAAAATAGCAAAAAATAATGAATAAGTTATATTGTGACCTTTATACCGCAAACCTGCAAGACGTAATTAAAAATTAATAATCAACTGCTGCAACACAGTGATTAGTTGAAGAAACACTCAAACAGCAAGGATGTGTTAAATCTATGACAAATCTATCTGCTTACAGGAGAAGAACTCATCAGGCAAACGTCTGGGCCGGACTCTTGCCGCAGGGCCCTGGATGACAGTGATGTCATCAGTGTTATCCAGATAATCGGAGACGTATGCAGCTTTCTTACATGACGCTTCTTCCATCCCTGCATGTTTTATAGACACAGAGAAGGACAAAATCATTAGAAATGAACTTAGATTTCACAGGTTGCACATTTAATTTTGTTCATTAATTCATGATTTTTTCACCCCCCATGTCAAGGCAAACAAGTATGAATTCTTTGTTTCACAAAAAGAAAGTGTGAGTAAATAAAGTGAGTAAAGTTATGGGAGAACTATAGATATAAAACATTTTGCCAAACTTAATGTGTTCACTCTAGTATTATAACATTCAACTCTTTTTTCTCTCACTGTAGTGTCAAAGGAAGCATATAATTCACTGACAGTAAAGGCTTACAGCAAAACCACCACTTCTCTCATTATATTCTTGAGCGAGTACTAATTAAACATCAGTGATTCAACTGAAGTGCAGCACATCAAAATATACAACCTCAGTATACATTCACAATCACTCCAACCAAAAAGGCAGAGCGGCACAGTAAATTAAAAACACAAGAGTCAAAATTAGCATGCTAGCAAGCCTCGTGACGTACTTGAAGGGCAGGAGACACATGTGCAATCCCACACGCCTTTAATTTGCCCCAATCTCAAATGGAGACACACGTCAAACAGATGTCACTGCTGTGCTAACTTCTGTGCCAACCCAGTTAGGTGGGAACCAGTGATATTTAAGCATCATTGAGATACTTTTGAATTAGCTTTCTTTTTTTCTGTTTGCAATTTAATTTTAGATAAAGTTCTCATGAAATCAAAAAGGGAAGTGTTTTGGCTTATAGTATGAATGTGTTAGTCTTGTTGTTATCTTTAAGCTAGTGTGCTCCAAAACAAAACTTACAGTCTCTCACTTCGGCCAATATGTCTCAATGATTTAGATGACATACAGTCGTTCTCAGTATCATACTACTGAGACTGCTCTCATTAGAGTTACAAATGATTTGCTCTCATCATCCGATCGTGCGGTTGTATCTCTCATCATCCGGTTGTATCTCTCTGTTAGTGTTGCTGGATTTTAGTGCTGAATTTCCTACTACTTAACTCTGAAAAAAACAGAGATTCTAATTATTGGCCCAAAAACGTCCTCACTTAAAGGGGTGGTTCAGAATTTTGGACATCGGGCCTCATTTCCAAGTGAGCCTTAGTGTTATTTATCAGTAGAGACCGTTTTCAAAAAATTTCATCCAGTCGTTCCAGTTGCATAGTTCGCCGGTGCTAGGCTAGCGCGAGTCAACGGTACCTGCTAGCCTGCCATTAAAAACAGTTTTACCCACTCCACAGTACACCAAAAGCAAATAAATTATAACGCCAGACTATCCATGTAAATGTCTGTTAAGAGAATAATGTTAGAAATCAAACTACCCTTCCATTGCATTGCAATAGTTATACTTTGTTCCCTGTATTTATTAGCACAGTCTACAGCAGTGGCGGAGTGATATGTAGTTACCTAGGCAACCGAGAGAGGTAGTGAGAGAGGTAGAGAGAGGTAGTGAGAGAGAGAGGTAGAGAGAGAGAGGTAGAGAGAGGTAGTACAGGTAGTCCCGACTGTAGTGCGCTTCGGTTCTGTGTTTACTTTTCGGCGCAGGACTACTAACCGAAGTAAAGTAAAATTCCGCCGTTGCTGAGAAACTAGTTCCTGTAAATGTATAGCGATCATTGAGATGCAAGAGTAGTTTGATTTCTAACATTATTCTCTTAACAGACATTTACATGGATAGTCTGGCGTTATAATTTATTTGCTTTTGGTGTACTGTGGAGTGGCTAAAACTGTTTTTAATGGTTGGCTAGCAGTTACCGTTGACTCGCGCTAGCCTAGCACCGGCGAACTATGCGACTGGAACGACTGGATGAAAATTTTTGAAAACTGTCTCTACTGATAAATAACACTACGGCTCACCTGGAAATGAGGCCCGATGTCAAAAATCCTGAACCACCCCTTTAATAACCTAGAATACGATCTAACACTTGATGGCAGCTCTTTCAAGTCTTCGTCGTCGGTTAGGATCCTGGGTTTGCTCTTTGATTCCAATCTTTCATTTGAAAGCCAGGTTTCTAGCATCTGTAAATTACGACATATGCTCTCAATGACAAATGCGGAACAGTTAGTTCATGCGTTCATGACCTCAAGGCTAGATAATTGTAATGCTCTTATGGGTGGTTGCCCTGCACGTTTAATAAACAAAGTCCAGTTGGTCCAAAACGCAGAAGCTAGAGTTCTTACTAGAACCAGGAAGTATGACCATATTAGCCCGGTTCTGTCAACACTGCATTGGCTCCCTATTAAATATCGTTTTTAAATATTGCTGATTACTTACAAAGCACTAAATGGTTTAGCTCCCCAGTACTTGAGAGAGCTCTTAACGCATTATAGTCCTTCACATCTATTGCGATCTCAAAATTCTGCCCAGTTGATAATACCTAGAATATCAAAATCAACTGCTGCCGGTAGATCCTTTTCCTATTTAGCACCCAAACTTTGGAACAGTCTTCCTAGCATTTTTCGAGAAGCAGACACACTCTGTCAGTTTAAATCTAGACTAAAAACACATCTCTTTAACCTGGCATACACATAAAACATTATGCATTTCTATTATTCAAATCAGTTAAATGATTATTAGGCAGCCTAAACTAGGTCAGGCGGAAACACTTCCTATAACACCCGATGTACTCATTACATCATAAGAAGAATGGCAACCCCGACTAAGCCTGGTTTCTCCCAAAGTTATTTTCCCAATTCTGCCACCTGATGAGTTTTGGTTCCTTACCACTGTCGCCTTTGGCTTTTGGCTTGCTTAGTTGGGCACATTTAATATTCAACAATATTATTGATCTTCCTGCATTGACACCATTATATGAGAACTGAACTGAGCTGGACGATGACATCACGGTTTTCTCCAGAGCGACTATATAAAGTCAGGTCCATATATATTTGGACACAGGCACTTTTCTTTTCCTTTTTTTTCTGGTATTTACCAAAACATATTCAAGCTACAGTTATATAATGGATATTGCCTGAAAGTGCATACTCTCAGGTTTAATTTGAGGGTATTTAAATCCAAATGGGTTTAGGAATAGCCATCCCCCCCCCCCCCCCCCCCCCTTTTTCAAGGGACCAAAAGTCATTGGACAATTGAATTAAAAGCGGTTTCATGGACAAGTGTGGGCCACGTTATTTCTTCATCAATTAAGCAGGTAAAAGGTCTGGAGTTGATTCTATGTGTAGTATTTGCATTTGGAATCTATTGCTGTGAACCTACATCATGCGTTCAAAGGAGCTCTCCATGCAAGTCAAACAGGCCATCATTAGGCTTCAAAAACAAAATAAATCCATCCAAGAGACAGCTGGAATATTAGGAGTGGCCAAATCAACAGTTTGGTACATTCTGAGAAAAAAAGAATGCACTGGTGAGCTCAGCAACATAAAAAGGCCTGGACGTCCTTGGAAGATATCAGTGGTAGATGATCGCAGGATCCTCTCCGTGATAAAGAAAAAAACATTCACAACATCCAGCCAAGTGAAGGACACTGTCCAGGAGGTAGGCGTGTCATTGTCAAAGTCTACAATCAAGAGAAGACTTCAGGAGAGCAAATACAGAGAGTTCACCACAACCTCCAAACCATTCATAAGCATCAAGAATAGAAAGGTCAGATTAGACTATGCCAAAAAACATCTAAAAAAGCCTGACCAGTTCTGGAAAAGCATTCTTTGGACAGATGAAACTAAGATCAAACTGTACCAAAATGACGGGAAGAAAAAAGTATGGAGAAGGCTTGGAACAGCTCATGATCCAAAGCATGCAAAGTCATCTGTAAAACATGCTGGAGGCAGTGTGATGGCATGGGCATCCATGGCCTCCAGGGGCACTGGTGTTTATTGATGATGTGACAGAAGACAGAAGCAGCCGGATGAATTCTGAAGTGTATAGGAATGTACTGTCTGCCCAGATTCAGCCAAATGCACCAAAGTTGGTTGGAAGGCGTTTTACGGTTCAGATGGACAATGATCCAAAACACAATGGCCGAGTAAATCACCTGATCTCAACCCGATCGAGCATGCATTTCACTTGCTGAAGGCAAAACTAAAGGCAAAAAGACACACGAACAAACAACAACTGAAGACAGCTGCAGTTAAGGCCTGCCAAAGCATCACAAAGCAGGAAACCCAGTCTTTGGTGATGTCCATGAGTTTCAGACTTCAGGCAGTTATTGTCTGCAAATGATACTCAACAAAATATTAAAAATAAACATTTTATTTATGATTATATTAATTTGTCCAATAACATTTGAGCCCCTGAAAATGGGGGGGACTGTGTATAAAAATGGTTGCAGTTTCTAAAATGTTAACCTGATATTTTTGTTCAACTTCTTGAATTAAAGCTGAAAGTCTGCACTTCAAATTCACCCTGCTTGTTTCATTTTAATTTTATTCTGGTGGCATACAGAGCCAAATGTATGAAAATTGTGCCTGTGTCCAAATATATATGGACCTAACTGTATATATATATTTAATGAACTAAATTAATAACTTTTTTTACAACAAATATGAGCCATCACTGAACTAACTTAAGCTAGACTATGATGCTATTTTCTTCAAGAAACAAACTTTGTTGCATTATTTTCCTGTTATTACTGTAAAGCTACTTTAAAACAATCTGTATTGTAAAAAGTGCTATATAAATAAAGGTGACTTGACTTGACATGACATGTTACACTTCAGCTTCTCATCAGATTTTCTGTCCAATCAAATGCTCTCTAGAATCTAGTCCCGCCCCCTACATTATAAATAGACGCTGAAGCTACGGCTGAAGTCGTTCACTTGTTCACAAATGTACTATTTTCTACATGGCGAATAGCACATAGTGCACTATAAATCACCACATTTTCATTAAAAGGGGCCTTTTACCCCATTGTACCCTATAGCTCCTGCCATAACATCTTCCAATAAATATTTGGTCTCATGTTGAAGTTAAAGGTGCACTATGCAGGACTCATAAAAAAAAAATCCCTCTCAATCATTACTTATGATCCACTA